AAGAGAAAAAAGAGAAAAAAAATTTGAATGACTTTATTATACGACATCAAATTTTATTATCAAATCCATTTATCTGAATAAAATTATTATTATTATTATTATTATTATTATTATTATCATTAATATTTTTTTTTTTTTTGAAGATGTCTTAAATCTTTCAAAAGATGCCACGGAATAAAAAAATAATAATAATAATAATAATAATTTTTTTTTTTTTTATAATCCGTGGGATTAAGTTTAAAAATCTGATTTTAATACTAATAATAATAATAATAACGGAATGTATTCGCGTTTTAAAAAGAAAAAGTTCGTGTCAATAATTTCGTTTTTTTATTATTATTATTATTATTTATTAAGAATAAGTATTGAATTGTTTTTTTTCTTTTTATGAAACGGAGAAAAGATTTTTACAAAAGAAAGAGAGAAAATGAAACGTAGTTAATGAGAAGCGTGTGCGGTTTTTTTATTTTCTACTACCACGTGATTTTTTTTTTTTTAACCGCAAATATTTTTTTAAAATATATATATATTTATATTAATTATTCGTGGTTTTAATTTTAATCGTGACGTCAGAATATGAAAGAATCGGATTCGTACGAAAACCGCAAATTAATAAAATTACGAATCACGGATTCCCCCCCCCCCGATTACGCTTTCACTGCGAAAATACGAAGCCCCTCCTCTCCTTTTTTTCTGCTTCCCTCTCTCCGCCCCCTTTCTCTCTTCCCTCCCCCCAATTCATTTACAAAAAATAATTATTAATAATAATAGGGACATTTATTACCTTTGTATATATTGCGTTACACGCAAAAAAATAATAATTTTTTTTGTTAACGTGGCATTAGACTCGACGTCTCACCAGTCGTGACAATGTTTAAAAGTCGAAATTGAGTTTTACGATTTAAAAAAAAAAAGAAACGAAACGAAATTTTTATTGTTGTTGTTGTTTGCGAAACAAAATTATGCATAAAATTAACCGATCAATCAATCAATCAATCAGTCAGTCAGTCAGTCAGTCAGTCAATCATTCTTTTCCTCCTTCGTTCTTTCGTTCATTCATTCATTCTTTCATTGTTTTTTTTTTTATTCTATTCTATTCTATTCTATACGCCTCCTGCCCTTTTTTTTTTTTTTTAATATCTCAACTGGAAATATTTTTTTATTTCACATTTGGTCTATTTTAATAAATGAAAAAAAAAAAAAATTATATTATTATTATTATTATTATTATTATTATCATCATCATCATTATTATTATTACGTCATGCTGATTTTATATTTTAAAACCAGTAAAAGAATAAAAAAAAAAATCTGTTTTATTTTAAAAAAAAAAAAAAAAAAATTTATGACTACATTTTAATTTTTTATTAACGTTTGGCATTTTTGGAATTTTAGGTTCTTGCCATTAAAACCTTTCCCTCCCTTCCCCTCTCCTCCTTCTCCCCTCCTTCTGTCTCCCCTTCACTGTTCCTCTGTCTCTCTTTTTCATTTTTTTTTTTCATCGGCCATCGTTTTTTAACTGAAAATTATAATAATACGTTATAATAATAATAAACAAAAAAATAAAAAAATTTATTTACTCTATGATTTTCAACGGAGCCACGCCATTTTTTTTTTTTAAATTTCTTTTCGCGGGTTTTTTTTTTTTTTTTTGTTTTTTCTTCCGTCGCGTTTTTTTAATAATTTATTATTTTTTTAAGTTTATAATCATAGCGTTGTTCATCACGTGTTTTATATTCAGAGTTTTTTCCAGGGTTTATTCCAGGTTTCCTCATCACCCTGATCCCTTAGGAATAAATGCTTGAACAATATCAATTCTTGTGAGTCGCCATGAATTAATTTTATTTCTTCAGCTATTTCCGGTAATACTTAAAAATATTCCTTGGAAATTTTTCCAGAATCTTCCAGACTTCTCCGAAATTTTTTCGTACTTGTTCAGCAATTTTTTAGACTTTCTCCAGCAGTTCTTTAGAAAATCTATAGAGATTTCCCCAACCCAGCAATTTCTTTAGAATTTTTCAGACTTTTACAAAATTTCTTTGTAAATGTTTCTCTAGAAATTCCTACAAACTTCTCCAGTAATTCTTGAGAATTTCTGAATTTCTCCAGTAATTCTCCGGCGATTCTCTATAAATTTCTTAGACTTTTCAATAAATTTTTCAAACTTCTTCATGAATTCTCCTGACTTCTTCAGAATTTTCTCCAGCACTATATGCAAACTTCTCCAGAAATTTTTCTAGACTTCTCCAGAATTTTCTTAGAACAAAATCTTTAGAATTTTTCAGACTTTCCCAGCAAAGCCTCAGAGTTTTCCACACTTTTTTCAAAAATTTCGACAAACTTTTCCAGGAATTCTCTATCAGTTCTTTAACCATTCTCTCTAAATTCTTTAGAATTTTCTATAAATTTTTACAAACTTCTCCAGACTTCTCCAAAATTTTCTCCAGCAGTCCTATAGAAAATCATCAAAATTTTGAAAATTTCTTTAAAATTTCTCCAGCAGTTCTATTAACGATTTTCTGAAATCTTCACAAGCAATTTTCTCCACGTTTCCAGGTAGTAGTAACTTTCTTTTCGCAAAACAGCTTTTAAATAATTCTCGAAAAATTTTCTCCAAAACCTCTCCGGCAATTCTTCAGCTCATCATCATCCTCATCATTATTATTATTTTTTATCCATATGGTCGATATACGAAGAGGATTTCAACAGATTATTTATATCGTATTCCTACGACGTCCAACGCACCCAACCAATTTGCAGTGTCAGCAGATTAACCGTAACCGGAAGTTGTTTTATGCATAAGATAACGTTTTTTTTAATTATTATTAATTTCAGATACGGGAATAAAATACGTTCCAAGTTTTTGCGGAATGTTAAGAGAGCTTTCGGTGAGCGATTGTAATCGTGTGACGGATTTCGCATTACACGAATTAGCAAAATTAGGAGCGACGCTTCGTTATTTATCAGTTGCCAAATGCGACAGAGTCAGCGACGTGGGATTAAAAGTCATCGCGAGACGTTGTTACAAATTAAGATATTTAAACGCAAGAGGATGCGAAGCCGTTTCCGATGATGCGATAACCGTTTTAGCGAGATCGTGTCCGAGACTTCGAGCTCTCGATATAGGTAAATGCGATGTGAGCGATGCGGGACTTCGAGCTCTCGCAGAATGTTGTCAAAATTTAAAAAAATTAAGTTTGAGAAATTGCGATTTGGTGACGGATCGAGGAGTTCAATGCATCGCTTATTACTGTCGCGGACTCCAACAGTTAAACATACAAGATTGTCAAATATCTATAGAAGGTTATAGAGCCGTTAAAAAATATTGTAAAAGATGCGTCATAGAACATACGAATCCTGGATTTTTTTAAATCAAAATGGCCGACACAAAAATTTAACATTAAATAATAATGAAAAAAAAAAAAATTCTAACAAAAATTTGTGCGTGTAAATTTCAAAAATAAATAAAAAATTTTATTGTTTTATTATTTATTATTATTATTATTATTTTCAATTCCATGAAATTTTTAAAAATCGTTTCGTTAATCGTTTCCGTTTACGTATCATATCCGGTTTTTAATTGTTTTTTTTTTTTTAATTCATAGATGGCGGTGGTGATCGATTGCGTTTGTTTGTTTTGTTTTTCTTAATACTTTTTACTTGAAATTTTTTCTTTTCGTCATTTTAAATTCAAAATACGGAATTATTATTATTATTATTTATTTCCTTCATGTTTTTTTTTCTTTTTACAATATTATCTTTCGAACGTTCTAGAATTTTGTTTGTCATATTTTTTTTTTCCTTTAGGTCATACATAACGAACCGTCATAATTATTATTAACGACATTTTATTGTTTTCACGACACGTGACGACAATTCCGTAAATGGATAAAAATTATTATTATTACTATTATTATTATTATTATTATTATTATTATTATTATTATTATTATTATTATTATTATTATTTTTCGATCGATTCCATAGAGAAGAAAAAAAAATTTTTTTTTTTTATAACTCTCAAATTCTTCTTTTAATAATAATTCGCCATTTTTAAAAATAAATTTTCCTCAATCATGTTGTTTTATTTTTAAAAATTAATCGAAAAAAAACAAAATGGCGGACTTAAAACAAAAAACAAACCATAATCAAATTTTCAAATGTAAAATAAAGAATTTAAATATTTAAAAAAAATCATCTTCAATCCTCCATTTTATTATTATTATTATTATAATTATTATTAAACGTTAATTCAAAAGATAAAACATGAAAAAACTAAAAAATTTATAATAAAAACGTTGCGGAATTGAAAAATTAAAAAAAAAAAATGGCGGCGGTCAGAATAAGAAGAAGGAGGGAAAAAAATGGCGACGGTAGTAGAAGAGGAAGAGGAAAAGGAAAAAATGGTAAATCATCATCTTTTTCACTCGTGATCGTGGTTAAAAATTTTGCGGTTTGTTAAAAACAATTTTTTTTTTTTTTTAAATAATTTATTTCACACTAAATCATTTAATAAAAAGATGACGTTTTTCTTTTTTTCTCTCATTCGTTCGTTTGTATGTCGGGGTTATATTATTGTTTCTGACACGTTCGAATGAATAGAAAAAATAAAATAAAAAAAAAGTGTAAGAAGAAAATAACGCTGTTGTAGTCATAGTTTAATGACTTCCTACACGTAGAGAGAGAGAGAGAGAGAGAGAGAGAGATCAATTAAAATTTTTTTTTTTTTTCCAATTCAACCTCGAAAAGAAAAAAATTTTAAATTTTTTTTTTTTTTTTAAAGAAATAAAATTGAGAGAAAGACGTGGATT